AGTATGGAGATTCCTCAAAAGACTAGGAATAGACTTACCATATGACCCAGGAATCCCACTCCTGGGCTTGTATCCAGAAGGAACCCTACTTCAAAATGACACCTGCACCCCAATGTTCATAGCAGCAGTATTTACAATAGCCAAGACATGGAGACAGCCTAAATGTCCATCAACAGGTGACTGGATAAAGAAGATGTGGTATATTTATACAGTGGAATACTACTCAGCCATAAAAACCGACAACGTAATGCCATTTGCAGCAACATGGATGCTCCTGGAGAATGTCATTCTAAGTGAAATAAGCCAGAAAGAGAAAAATACCTTATGAGATCACTCATATGTGGAATCTTAAAAAACACAAACAAACAAAACATAAATATAAAACAGAAACAGACTCACAGACATAAAATACAAACTTGTGGTTGCCAGGGGGGCAGAGGGTGGGAAGGGATAGACTGGGATTTCAAAATGTATAATAGATAAACAAGATTATACTGTGTAGCACAGGGAAATATACACAAAATGTTATGGTAGCTCACAGAGAAAAAAATGTGACAATGAATATATATATGTTCATGTATAACTGAATAATTGTGCTCTACACTGGAATTTGACCCAACATTGTAAAATGATAATAAATCAGTAAAAAATGTTAAAAAAAAAAAGAATTTTAAGTGCAATTACTTATTATAGATCACTTTTATCCTAGGCTTTGGTCTGCACACTGCTTTGTTTTCCCTTGGGTTCAATTTTAAGGTCTGAAAAAAATGCTTAATATTTGAGATAATGGGACAAAAATACTCAGGAAGCTTGCCTGCTCTCATTTCAAACTGAGAAGGATCTTCCTGCACCTCAGATAGAAAGCTTCTAAGATCTGTCTACTCCCAGGCAAGAGCTGGCCTCCTGGGTCAGTGTCTTTGGAAGGAAGCAGTGTGCTCCTTAATCACATTAATATAAAGAAAAGTTCTTCTTTATTATTATTTTTGGAAATAATATTGTGGAAAAAATATGCGAGGCTTTGATAAAAAGCCCTACTAAATACCAGGCAATAAATAAGTCAGGAACCCCACGTTCCAAGTTCCCAGTTGCTTACATATTTGGTGTCCCTGGGAAAGCTGCTGCCTGGGCTGAAGAGGCTGCGGAAGGTAACTGTCCCTGTCTGCAAGGCGGGAGGTTCACATCTGGGTTCTCCATCTCTCCTTTCTTTTCAGATATACTCAGTAGAGACATAAGGTTTGCAGGAAATTCTAAAAGGCACGGCTTTGAGTCTGAATTTTGATGCTTGTTGTGACTCAGTTTATTGGCTAGTGAACTCTGGACTTCCAGCCTGGAGCCTCGGCAAAGGCCCACTCCACTGGGCAAAGGCGTGGCTGCCGCTGCTCAATTGCCCAACCACTGGCCCAACGGGGTGGGGAGGACAGTGCTCCCTGAAGTCAGCACGTGGGGAGGGGGAGCTGACCCTCAGTGATGCTCACCTGCTGCTCATATGTAGCTGCTCTGGGAGAGTAGGGGGCTCTAACTAACGACTGATTGAACTAACAGCCAGTGTGAACCCTGTGCTCTCTAAGAGTGAGCTGATGGAATGGAAAAATGATTCCTGGAAGGGATGGTGGTCTAGACACAATGATGACATACTTAGTGTGCACTCTGAGCCCATGTTCTAAGCACCTCCATGTACTCATTCATTCAACCCTCTTAGCAACCTACTGACATAGACGTTAAAATTAACTTTCCTTTACATTCAAAGAAACTAAGGCCCAAAGAGGTCGTGTAACTTCCTTAAGGTCACACACACAGCTAGTAAATGATGGAACCAAGTTTCAAAGCCAGGCAGTATGATTATAGCACCTGGGTTGTTAGATGCGCCACTCCCTCACCTAAATGTGATGGCACACCTCTCGAAGGCATAAATAACAGTGCTGTGTTTGCTAAGGAGAGGGTTTCAATAGCCTTAAAAATAAACAACAAATGTGTTCAACATCCTTGGGCTCAGATTAGACACGAAGAGAAAAATGACACAAGCCCTGGGAACGACTGTGACTCCTGAGTACAGGATAACATCACACTCTCCCGGTCTCACAGCCCAAGAAACTCTGATGTTCTGACGATGGATATGAGACAAGGATGAGGCACTTGGAAATTAGAGTGGAAAATTATTATGGAAGTTAAGCATGAAACAGCATCAGGTATAGGAATCTTTTAGGTGCATGTTACAAATAACAGACTGTAAACACTATGTGCTCTCAGTGTCACTGCTGCTCTTCCCACAGAACATGTGGCAACCTGTATTTTAAACTCCTTAAATCGAAAAAAAGAGTGAAAAAAGATGCCAGGAAGCGTCATGAACTCTAGAATGTATTTCCACTCTCCAGGATGATGTAAAATAGTATCATTTTGAAAATAGAATTACTCTTTTGAGGTCAGTCTAATGTTACTTAGTAGGAAGAAAAATCCACATGTTAATTGTAAGCATTTGCATTTGGTTATTTCCAAATCTACCCATGCAAGGATTTTATTCGCAACAGACAAAGCACTTGCGGCTCCTTTATGTAATAAGTGCCTGCGCGTACACACATACAGAGATGCACACACACACCCTTCTATATATTTAGCAATAACGCTGTTCCACTTCAAACAAAGCTAAGACCTTAAATGCATGTTAACACTTTAAATGTGGCAGTAGACTTCTAATTTTATTCTAGTCCTTTAGGTATCCTGCCCCAATAAACAACCTGAATGACTGGAATAGCTACAAAAAGCTCTCTGTGAACATTTTTCCCAAATGTAAATTATTGGAAGGCTGTTTATATAATTCATGAAAATCTTTAGGCTTGTGTCCTTTTAATCTTGATGACTCCCTCGCACTGACAGAATCCTGCTTTTACTCTATGCTTAAACACTGAATTTATTTCTTCTGCTTATTCTAAAGAAAGAGAAATGAAATTGTACTTTCAGATGTATATAATTTAGCTTCTGCACACACACACTGAGGTTTAACACGTCCACAGTTTTCACTCTTGAATTTGTCAATGCTAAAGCTAAACAGGGCAATTCTCTCCATTTAGTTCTGGTGGTGTATTGCTAATATTAATTTTATCATAAAACATTCTTATTCATTCTAAAATGATCTCTGGTATTGTTTGACATCCGCGTCAGTTGCCATGTGCTGGGAACAACCACAGTTTTAAGAATTTTAGGGCCACAACATGACAATTATTTTTTCTCTTAGTGCTCTCTATTCTGGTGCTTCCATCCACGGCATTTCAGGCTAAATCACCTCAACACGAAAAATGCACAGGTCTTCCTAACACTTCTCCTGTCCTACTGTTTTGCTGGCTACTGAGTGACTCCTGGAATAGTGCTGCTGAAAGGAAAACCACTGAGGAAGCTGAGAATCAGCAAAGATGATTGCTTGGAAGAGAAATTTGACCCTGACTGCTGTGCAGACTTGTGGAACCTTAGATCTGGAGGAACCCCAGAAGGTGAAATCATCTACTTCTCCTTTGTCCACTATTTCTACCCTAAGGGAAGGCACTGGGATCTCTGGATCCACAGGGCTGTTTTATTATTTGTTTATTTAAAATGCTACTTATTTTTATATTTTTTAAATTGAAGTATAAGTGATGCACAATGCTGTTAGTCCCAGGTGCACAACACAGCTATTTCTGTACATTACAAAACAATCACCACGACCCACAGGACTGTTTGAATGGCTTCCTAACTGTGTCTCATGCTTCCGTTCTTGCTCTCTTGCCCCGATTTCATTTTTCACAAGGAGCTGGACTCATCCTTTAAAAATATAAGTCAGATTTCTGGCCACTGCTGAAGACCTTCCAATGGTTCCCATGGATTTAGACTACTGTCCAGGCTTCTTCCCAAGGGTGTGTGAAGCCCTGCAGTCTGGCTCCTGCTTGGTTCTATGTCTTGGTCTCATGCTGCTCCCATTCACTATACCACAGCCGCACTGTGCTTCCATGTGTGTGTGTATATGATTCTATATTTTTATATATTACACACCATATGAAGTTACATTATGGACTATATATATGTCCTGTGCTGTCCATTATGTCCTGTGACATTTATTTTACAACTGGAGTTTGAACCACTTAATCCCTTTCACCTACTTCACCTATCCCCCTATCCGCTGTCCTCTGGCAACCACACGTTTGTTCTCTGTATCTATGAGTCTGTTTCTGTTTTGTCATGTTTGTTCGTTCGCTTTGTTTTTTAGATTCCACGTGTAATGTGAGATCATACGCTTTCTATATATTTTTTGAATGCTGAGCGCCTTCCCACCTCAATGCTTCTGCCAGAACCACTTTCCCCCCAGATTCTTTGTACACCTATTTTCATTCTACAGAATGAAATTCCCCTTCCCTCCCGTCAAAACTCCCACATCGCTGTTTTATCTTCTTCTCAGTTTAAAATGAACTTTTAAGAGCTTTCAAGGGGGTGGCAGATTGAGGGGGGAAATGAGCTGTGGCCTTGCATTCTTTCTGAGCCAGAGGGCAACAATGTTCAGCCAGTTAAGTGTCAAAGATGCTTATTTGTGCCCACGGCTGCGACTTCCAGGCTCCACTTGGAAGTCCAACTACAGCAGTCCTCTGGTCTACTTGTCCAGAATCCCCAACACCAGAACAATAAAAACAAGACCTCTTATTCAGACGCAGGCAAAGAAGTCACTTACTTATGGTGGATCCAGACTCAGGCCTGTTCAGGGAGCTGATGATGACAAAGCCGAAGCCTTCATTCTCTTTGCGGTGAATGACCACATCGCTGGTCTGCAGGCTGTGTGAGGCGAAGCCTTCGGGCGGAGAGGCGTTGCTACTGGGGGCGGCGTGGTTGCTGTTGGCGTAGGTGTTGGTGTAGGCCGCGTAGTCACTGCGAGGAGAGCTGTGGTGGGTTGATACAGAGCCTGGACTCCTCCCGTTCTCTGGGCAGGGCTCCCCTGGAACACACATCGTACACAGGCACCAGTTACTTAGCAAGAGTCTTGATGAACGAGTGCTTCCTGTGTACTGGGCACTGCTATACAGACACCAGCATTTTTACAAGATGGGTTGACTGGCTTCTACTCCCCACAAGATGTGAAGAGCATTTGAAGGGCTACAGACCTGGCTACGGAGCCCCCTAGGTCTTGGCCCCATTCCACCCTTCCTAGCGAACACAGGTAAAACCCCTCATCACCTTCCTCTGTGCTCCTACTTGTGTATAACTTCTTGGTAAGACTACAAACCCCCAAAACAATGCCTAGTTTTAAACATCAGGCTTCTTATTTTTGTAACAATAATTGATCAAAGAAGATCCTAAAACAGGTAGACAGAACCTTAAACTGTACTGGGCATAAAACTTAAAGAACTTGTAAAACACATACATCTTCAGGGTCTACCCAAGGAGCTTTTTCTAGTAGATCCAGGGACCACTGGGCACAGGAATGCGGGTGAGGTTTCAGGCCATACTTTGAGAAATGCGGCTGTAGAAGGATTATAGTTGGGGCTAACAGCCCAAGGGATGTCCATGTAGAGTGATACATCATAATTTTACTAAAAAGCCATGGTTTTATTTAGTTTTGTGATATTCTGTTAGCCTAGAAGTGTTAATTCACTTTGTGTAGGCGGGAACCATACTTCTGAGTTTGCTCACTCTGGGATCAAATCCAACAACGTCAGGCTAAGGAATGATGAATTTGAAATCTCTAAGGGAGGTGTTGGAGGCCTTGCTCATTTTCATTCTGTATTATTACAAAATATACTTTATTATCAGCCAGATAAACCAAGCCACTACTTCTAAGGAAAAGCAAGCATATTTTAAGGGAGAAATGATAGAAAACTGGCAGCGAAGAGAAGCAAGTTTCTAAAATGAAAGTTGATCTATCATCCAAGAAAGGATTTTTTCATTTTAATACCTAGATTTTGATATTCTGATGTAAAAAACTGAAGCAGGACCCTAGAATACTGTGATTAGAAATAGGACCGTTTCATTTTCCTCTTATAATTTAATAGTGTACTCAAAAGATGTTTATGGAACAGAGGAACAATAAAATAGAAAACAATGACAATTAATGATTTCTTTCCAGGTCTCTAGATATAGTCTCCTCTGAAAGATGTCTCATATGGCGAGTTAAAAATACCCAAAATTCCAATGAAGGCTCTTAACTTCCTTTGTAGGCTGTAATTCCATTCTGAAATGAAAAATCATTACATTTCAAAAATCAAAGTCAGTTCACAAATCAGGCAGAAAGAACACTGACTACAAGAGATGTTTTGTTATATACTGATACTTTAAAAAAAGAGCTGCATTTACTCACATGCTCAGATTTAAAAATGGTCTTTACAAAAACGTATTTATTTCTCATCTGTAATTACAGAATGAATAAGACCCAGGCTGCTGTTTATTATTGCCTGCTAAATTTGAATTTTTCTGTAAGATTTAATTAATCAGGTTTTAAGAAGATAAAACAAGTGGATGTTTTTCATCTATGAGAAACATACCGAGGTGATAAATGAACAAAATGTCAATGTCAAAGCTTTCCCCTCTTTTCTACCAGAATTTCAAACCGCCTGTAAAATGAACCCTCTCCACTAGAAAATATCATGCAAAGACAAGCTGTTATTGTCTTGGTGAAGCACATGTCCTTTATCAGTCCTCGCACAAGTTGGAAATAAAGTGATTAGAGACAGTCAGGAAGAAGAAAAACAAACAATTATCATGCTGCAACATTAAATTGAAAATCTCCCTGAGTTATTGGACCAAATCAGTAACTAAATGTCATAGGCAGTGACAAGAGAGATCTCATTTTCTGGCTGTCATATTTTAGGGGGTTGAGAGCTGTGGCTGTCAGTAAAGCAGCAACAAAGAAAAATTGTCTTTGCAGTAAATGGTTCGGCGTTCTGTGCCACAGATTCTAGAGGGAGAAAGAAAGAAAATCATTGCCTCATTCAATGTGAGTGGTCCCTGGGTGGGTCAAACAGATTAACAGCATACTCTCCTATTGCTTCTGGAAGTCTCTTTCACCCTCTAGAACAAAGTTCTTTATCTGTAACAACGTGAGCATACTTAAAATCAGGGAGTTAAGAAGACTTCCAATCATTGACTTTGATGGATAGAATTGACTTCACATCATTTTTCTACTTGGCTGACTCTGGACCCAAATATGACTTTCTTTTCTCCAACAACCCTTTCTGGCATAGGACATGGACAACATTGTTTTAGAATAATATAGTAAAATGTCAGAAAGTAACTAAATATCATGCACTGTTTTTTTTAGCTCACTAACTCCCAGAACCACTGACTCATCCTTCTGGCTTGCATACAAATGGGTGTACGGAATTCAGTCACTTAATATCTACTCAAGTCAAATCATTCATTTCTAGGTTATGCTTCTGTTTTGTCCTCACCAGTCATACTAGAAATCATCACTGTGCTGATTGAAACAGTCTACTGCTGGCCAGCAGGTGCTCTTGGTCTGCAGATCCATTTACTATTCCGGCTCAGTGCTGACCTAGTCTTTGTTTAATTATTGTTAAGATTAATTGCCAATGTTTTCAAATAGGAAGATTTTTACAGAAAGATGGATTTCCAGTTTCTCTTGAAATATTTGGTGATAGTCCACTAGAGTGAGGCAACTGCTGCTCCCTAGACTGAGTTTGGAGTTTGCAAGTCATCACAGTTCCAACTACTCCCCAGTGTCTCTTGAAAATTCCTGATTTACTAATTTACCCATGGAGTGAGGAGCACGCTGGGCCAAAGGGACTTGTTCAACTGGAGCCCTTGTTCCCTTCCAGATGACATACTGGGTACCAGGACTCTAGGATTCTATAACCAAGCAGACCTTGCCTGCTTCCAGGGTGTGCCTGGGTCTCTTCTCAGGACAATCCCCCAGCAGGATGACAGCACCACAGATGGGCATGTCTTGTCTTAGAGCACAGCTGAGTCAATGGGGTGTGTGTGTAGACAAGAGCTTGGACATGCGGGCTGGAGCGTCCAGAGGCATGTGCAGCCTCACCGTGCCTGATGGAGCGGGAATGGCTCACAGTCATGGCCAGTGTAGGGGGCTGGCCTGCAGGCAGGCATTTGAGTCTGTGCATTCCTGGTTTATGCTCATCAAGGCAGACAACTTAATTCAAAGGGTGACATATTCATAGATAAAGAATAAGGAACTGCATTTAGAACTGACAAAAATTGTAGTAACCAGGAGCAGGGAATTCACCAGCACCCTCAATACTGGCTAAACTTTTCATCTATCAGCCAAGGAAACTTTCCCTTTCTCCGCATCAGGCCAAGAACTAGCCTTTCCCTTAGGTGATAGAAAAAACATGCTGATAGCTTTAAGATGGACTCTTAACATGTTTTGATTAAGTCACAAAAGTTTCTTTCACATCAATTCTAGATCTACGCTTTAGGAAATTCCTCAGAGACACTCCTCTCAGACAAAGAGTACGTATTTAAAATAATGTGTCGCTATGTTGAACATCTCAAAGCTGAGTTACTAAACATATAAATATTTATATTTTCAGTGTAATAATTAAAGCAACTCTTCTATCTTTGGGGAAAAAAACAACTAAATACCAGAGCTGGTGGCATGGATAAGACATCTCTCAAAACTGGTTTAAGGTGCAAGATATGGGCTAAAATTATCTGGTAAACAAAACTAGATACATCACTGGCTATTATCTTCCTTTACTCCACGGTTTCTCACTTTTGAGGACGTAGCTTGCTGTTGCCTAACGGAAAATGTTGCAATACTTAGTGTGTATGTTTTAAACAATATTTTAACATTTGGAGCAGGTTTTTGTGTTATTTGAATTTTTTTTACCCCATGTAACTAACCAGTCTGTATCTTTCATAATTGCAGTGATTTTTTTTTCCTGAGCATCAACTAGGAAACCAGTGCCTGTGTCTTCTGAGGTGAGGCAGGACATTTGTACCAACTGAGGTAAGCATAAGGCTGAAGGGTAAAATCTCCCTGACCTCCGTCCCCCAGCTCTTTCTCTGTTACATTGTGCGAGAAGGTGGCAACGCTGCCCACCCTGTGGCTCTTCATCTGTCTCTTCACAAGCTGACTGCTCATTTCCCCTCCACTTTGAACCGTCTCATCGTAAGCTAGGCTTGCACGTCCCACTGCCTTTGCTTAGGAAAGTGTAGTAACAATGCAAACAAGAACCCTTAAAGTGGCATCTCCACCATCCTATCCATTTGTAGCTGCCCTTTCTCACTGCTGGAGAAATGGCAGCCATGAAGAAAGGCTGTCTTCCTATGCCTGTTTTTTTAAGTCTGTTCCATCCTATTTCTAGGCATGTACTTTACTATCAAAGTATCCTCTGCTGAACGTAATCGTTTTTGGTACTCATGAAGCTTTCAAGGAAGAGTGGGCTGAGCTAACTTGGGAACCCTCCTGGTGTGAGTAAGCAGTCTGCAGCAGAACATTTTCAAAAATTAAATGCACTTGAAACGCACTTGAAAGCCTAAATGGGTAAAGTTGGTAAGAACTGCAGCAAAGAGCAGCTTCACGGAAGTCACAAGACCCACAAACTGCAAGAACACATTTTTTGTAGCATTTGGCATACACTCCAATAGCTTGGGTTGATTAGAACAAAATTTAATTTGCAATAATCAGCTGGTGGCAAAGGTAGCATGAAATTATGTTGGTGCATTGGTTTTGCATTTTGCAGTGTATTTCCTTGTAAATCAGGTATCTTTTTAATTTATCTTTGGGTTACAGAATATACAGCACAGCAAACTTTTTATTAAAAATCACTCTGGAGGGAGGGGGACAGTTAAATGTTAGTCAAGCAAACACTGTCTCTCTACTGGCATCTCACCCAAGGATAAGGCATAATTCAAGGTGTTTTACTTCAGTGGGTCAAGAATCTGCCATGAATTTCTAAAGACGCACAAAACCTCCATATGATACAAGTTATCTAGCATCTCTACTGGTGAGGGCTGACAGTTCTTCTGACTTGCCCTTTTAAGTGATTACCTTTGCTCAAGGCCTAGTTTCTAGAAGACTTGAATAGAAAAGGATTTTTAATTTGCCAAATAAACCTTATCCTCTCTAGTCATTCACAGCCAGGGATTAGCTGGTGGCCCTTCTTTGGATTCAAATGTGTTATGATAATAACACATATGGAAGACTCCTTATGTTAGGGAGTGATATTTGCTAAAGGTTGGTCTAATGTCTTTGAATTCACTGGACGTGGGGTTGGTGGGGGAGGACGACTGAAAACGGCATAAAGCAAGCAGCACCGGCTGGGGCGCCATGCCTCTGCACGGGCGCTGACTCACTGCCAATCGCCGGGCAAGTACCTGAGCTGCCAGTGGCCGCTTCCTCGTCTGTAACACGAGGGAGTTCATGTTCTTTCTAAGGCCGTTCCTAAGTCTACCACTGACACTGTGTGTGAGGAGCAGTCGGGGACTGAGCAGAGAGGCCAGCAGGCCACTGGGGCAGAGGTTACAACATTGTTATTGCTGTTGCCCCTACAATTCACGGGGCAAAGCACAGGTTTGCGACTATAACCACCACGTTCCTGAGTGTTCAGATCATAAACAACAGTGTGATGCTTGTAACAGATATATTCCTTACAAATATAAACCTTTTTTGGGGGGTGGGTGAGAAGGTAGAGAGAGATAAATTGGATCATATTAAAACTTCGAGGGCTGACTTTTAAATGTATGTCTTTGGTGAAGTCTTTTATGAAGCTGAGAAAATGGTTGTAAAGGGAATAATTACTTCTGATTTATCTGTTTCATAACTTTGGAGCCATTCGAATGGCGTTTTCTCATAGTGACGTACAGCTATATTTTTCTAAATCGGGGTAATCGTTTTATTGTTACCTTTTATCAGGCTCTATGAAGGAAGCTAATTTTCCATCCTAGCTGCCTCGTTATGGTATCAAAATGCTGTGGTTTCTTCATTTGTAAACACAATGAGGAATATTTTCAAAAGCTGTATTTTTTAGTACTATAATGTTCTTAAAACTCACATCTACCAAAAAGCAAAGAGAATACATATCACATCTTAAATTAGCCTCAGGCTTTGCTAGAAATTTTTAATGACTCCATGGAAAACGTTGGCCTCAAAGACCGTGGAAATGTATTCGTGGAGTGAAAATCCGCACTTTCAAAATCATAGTTACATCTGGAATATAGGTTGGCTTTTTCCTCATATAGTATAGAAACCAATTTAAAACATTGTTTCAAGTGTCCTGACCATGACTCACAGAAGCATCTCACCATCTAACCCTCAACTCTTGCTGCTGGTTCGAGTTACACACCTCCACATAGCACCTTTCTTCTCACAGTGAGGTTGACCTGCCCATTCCGGGCCGCATGGTGCATGAGGTCGATGACATAGCGGTGGGTCTTGCCAGCCACCGGAATCCCATCCACATAGACGAGCTCGTCCCCCGGGTGGAGGCGGCCATCTCTGTCAGCTGAGCCCATGGCGATGACAGCTCCAATCAAAATCTGGAGAAGCAGTGAGAAGGAAAGGACATTTATGTTTCAAACATATATACATACATAAAGTTACTCAGTGGGAGATTTCACTCCCTCAGTCTACTCCTTGCTCCAAATCTGAGCATATAGTTGAAAAATGAAAAATGAAAGGCTGAAAAAACGAAGAGGCTAACTCCTCTTTGAGAAATAAATGTTTTGAACTCGCTGCTGATGGCAATGAAGTCTGGGGGGACACTAGCTGACTGGCTCATAAGTTATCACCCTTAACTCCAAATAATGTGACGCCATTGTCAACCATACGTGGGTTCTGAATGGAAACAAATTAGGGATGAAATCCTGGCTTCACTTTATTTGTGTGGCTTTTTAACCTCCGTGAGCCTCAGTTCTTCACCTGCAAAACAGGGAAATAAAATAATAGGACTTCCTTTATGGAGGTGTTAGGAAAGTGAATGAGATAGTGCATGAGAAGTTTTTACTCTACTCGGCAGTGTGAGGGGTCCAAAGATGTCAGGGGAAACTAGCTGCTGCACAGTATTAAATTCAGATAAAGGTTCAAAGTGTTTTTCATCTTTTAATTCTTGCTTTGCTTTGAAAAGCTGGAGGTAAGGAGAAAACAAGACAAAACAAAGAAAAACTCATCGTTGGCTTTTCCTGGTCAGCTGACATACATAAAAAATCAGATCTCCAGATTTTTGCTCCATTCCTTTCAACACTTCCTTAGAGCACTTCCTTGGCACAAAGGATGTCCTCGGTTCCGCCTGTCCCCTGCAAAGCTTCTGCTATTTAGGTGGCTACCATATCAGGAAATGTGGAGGTACCCATCTGGGAAATGCATGTATTGTTATAATTCCCTGAACCAGGAACTGTGATGAAAGGCATAACATAAGGCTTCCTACTTCCCATTAGAAACACTCAATTTAGTGTCCATTAGTAAGGTTTTTTTTTCTCAGAGGAAAGACAATAGCACTAAATATTTTAGTTTTGCTGTTTAACCTACAATTTTTCTAACTCATGGACAACAAAGTTCAAAAGAAAAGTTTTTGTCAAGTGGCTTAGCCTCCCAGTATCTGAAGGCAGTGGTTACTGTTAACCTGAAAATATTACGGTGGCTGTATTTTAGGTTGCATTTTAAGTCTTTATAAAATGATCCCTTGCTCACAGACTGATTTCTTTCAGGGACTAATTTTTTTCAAATCCCAGATCTGTGGGTTCCAGCTCATTTGCAGAGCTGCTCCATTGAGACCATGGCAGTGTGTCTTCAGGTTTGGCAGCAGACGATTCCCTCTTACTCAGTCACACTTTTCAGTGTGGCCCGTCAACAACACAACACAGCCACAGACCTGAACGCTCAGGCTTTCTCAGGTACATGCAAAATTATGGTCTGAAGAACAAATAGTCTTCTTTTCTCCTGAGGACTTCATAGCCTTGGTCCACTGAATAGCTCTCTTTATTCAAAAGAATGAAAATTCCCCACCACTACAGCTGTTTTTCCCTATTTCTGGGTTGGGTGGGATGGGTGGGAAGTAGCTTTGTTTCCATCTGGGATATTAGTGCCCTGATGACTGATTCATTATTGCTCTCACAGGGAACACCACACCTCCCGTCTTGGATTGGCGGGGCTGTGCCCATCTGCTATAGCCCAGCAGTCAGCCGAGCTTCTGACACTCTCCACTTTCCGTTACTGCCATGACAATCAGAATTTATGAATTTCCTTCTAAAGATGTTCCAATCTTTTCTTCAAAAGACTCAATCCACTAAGAAGTGCTTCAAAGATTTAGTAAGTGCTTTGTGCAAAAGCCAGTTAAAATTAATGTTTATGTTTCTCCACTGCCCCATGAAAAGCTTCATCTACCTGCATTAGTCCAAAGAAAATGCTTCAACATTTAGATTTCCTGTATGCCTTACTGGGAGAGTTTATAGCTAGTTACAGAGAAAGAGTGAACTTCTTGGCTGGTTAATTACCAACTTTAAGCTATAACTAAGTGATGAAAATGAACCAAAAAAATAGGTTACAACTGAGAGAGCTACTGCTGCAAATTGGGCCCTCTACAAAAATAGTAAAAATGAAATTTCACACAGGGAAATTCTCATTCCTCTCTTGCTGGAGGAAAACAGCAAACATACAGTATACAGATACTCTTGAAGTTATCTTTTATGTTACTAGTTAAATATCATCCATTAAAAGGAAAATCCCAGCAAAACATCTGTTTTTCTACTGTACTGCTGTGATACGAAGTAGTCTCTTCACTAATTAATTCATTTATCCAGCAAATATTTGTTGAGGGACACTTCTTGGTGCTAGGAATTCAACAGTGGGCAATAAACAAAAATCTCTGTCCTGTAGAGCCGTTTCAGCAGCTAGACAGTAATATATGTAATAAATCCGTAAATTATGTTGTATGCTAGCAGGCAGGTACGATGGAAAAACTAGAGCGAGGTTGGGGTGGGTGGGTGACAGTCGTGAGGCCAAGCTGGCATTAGGGCAGGTTAGAGCAGGTCTCACCAAGAAGCTGACATCTGAGCAAAAACTGAAGTTCACTGGACACTTTTTTTTTAACTTGAAGCTTGAATCTTCAAACTTTAGTTTGCTCTATCAAATCTTACACATTTATTTCCAAATAAACAATGTATTCAATATAATTTCTTATGTAGTATTACATGATTATGTATATACCTAGTTATGTAATTACACTGTATAATCCACCCTCACCTTGATTCAAAAAAAGGGTGCCACAGTTATGAATAAACTGGAATTGAGCTGAGCGAGGTGACCTGGAGGAGGCATTAGAGCTGCTTGTCCACGAGCTTGCATATGTGAGTTACACTTGCCCCTTCCTTCAGGAATGGCTGCCTTTGCTGGTACTCCATAGCTGATCATGTGCCTGTCACTGCTTCTGGTTCTCATGCTGCTTTTGTTCCTTAGCCTTTGGCCATTTTGCACCTTTGTGCACTGTTTCACTGCTGACACACAGCTAGCTCTATATGTCTATTCACGGGGGAAAAAAATCCAGCTTTTTTTTTTTTTAAATTTGAAAATACCTTATACACTTGACACATATGACTAGTTTATTTCCTATCTGCCTGGGACTGGACAATCTGATTCCTTCTTGCACTGTAACTCATATTGACTTCCATATATATATATCCTCATGCTCACTTAAGCTTTTGAAGACATGTCTCAGGATATCTGACCCTTAAAGTCAGTAGTTACAAAATTTAGGATGAACACATGAATCACACGATGAGCTTGTTAAAATATAGAGCTCTGCACCTACCCAGAGAGTCAGATTCTGCAGGCCTGGGTAGAACCTGAGATCTGCATGTTTAATAAGCTCCCAGGAGATGCTGGGTGCTTCTGGTCTGTAGCTCAAAAACACCTTCAGTGCCAAGGTTCTGAGCATTCTCACTCCAACCAGTGGTCACAGATTCCATGGTCCCACTGGTCACATTCCAAGTCCACTGAGAGACTCTCCCTCTAGTGCCTGGCCTCAGCTCCCTCCTACAAGGGTCACTTTCCACGTCCGCAGAGGGACTTGCCCAGAGTGCATGGTCCAGGCTCCCTGACCCATCAGGCTACATTTTCCTTCTGGTCTTGCTGACCCCTGGCTACCCTGACGGTGAGCCTTCCCAGCTAACACTGACCTCCCTTCTCACCTCACCGGATCCTTCAACATCTGAGGGGCCTTCAGTCTTGCTCATCAGCTTTCTCATGGCTCTTGGAGGAGCTCTTTATCCTGCCTCTAATGCTTTGGACCTGAAGGAGGAGCTCTGTGGGGAACAGATCAAGAAAGACACTGCCCCTCCACTCCCTGGCATCCCGAACAACTGACCCGGCCTTGTCTTTCCAACTGCCTTGTCTAAAAATCAAAAGAATCAAAACTCCATAACTCTAATCTAATAGGCTGTGAGGACACAGAACAAAACGAAATGTTTGATATGAAATAACAGCAATTCACATTCAAGTGGCTGATATCCCAGTAAGCACGGAGGAAAAAACTAACACAAAAAAGAGAACAAAAATAAGAAACAAACAAAACCAAAACCAACTTTGCAATCCTTTTAATTTAATTTAATTTAATTCTCGGCCACTACCTAATGCCAGTCTACCCCCAGCAGGTCTGATCTGCCAGCACTACAGCCCGGGCAACTTGCTAAGGTGGCCGGCAGAAGTCAGGCTCTTGCCTTCTGGAACTCCTCCACAAGTCTGCCCCAGACTCGCGTGCCAAGGCCTGTGTCTAGCATCACCTCTCTCTTTCTATGAAGATTTTCTCCACACGGGCCTTTCTCGACCACAGTGTTTTCCAAACCTTTCCACCTTGACACCTCCCATCTCTTTTCAGCTCACAGCTGGGGATCCCATTTTCTTTCCTTTGTGGCATTTTTTTTTTATTTCTTTCTATTTCTATTGTTACTTAACTGTGAAAAGTATTTCCTCTTGCAGGAAAAATGCCTATACGCTTTGTCTGCGCTGGAGTCCTGCTGTTCATTATTTGCTGAAAGCCATGTTGTCGTGTTTAGTGTGCACCCTGAGATGTCAATACCATCTCGTCTACGTTGAGGCAGAAACCCATTTGATGTAATTTATGAGACCTCCTGGGGTTAGGGACTAAGTCACCTTGACGCGCCTCTCCCTTTGTAGTGCATCAGAAATTAAGTGAGGCTAGCAAGCTCTGTCTGTGTGTTATCCCTGGGCTTACACTGGAGGGGAGCAGGAAGGAAAGGATGGGAGACCTTTACAGCAGACTCACTCTTCCTGATACGGTCTTTCTGAGGTGCAACATTCTGGTCTTCAAGACATTATATTGTGACTTTGCTTGCTTCAGGGAGATTAAGGCTTCCAGTTTATGGCTTAAACGTCAAAACTGTAACTTGCACCCCAAGTATGTTTTAAATCATGCAAATGAAAGAATAAAGCAGAATAAATCTAAATAAACATAATGAGGATTACCAGCAAACACGGAATCTGAGGAGACTTATAAACTCTGGATGCCTGCCCACAATGCAGGAGAAAACACTCGGGAGTGCAAAGTCAGTGTTCAGAAGGGTTGGTGACCTGTGTACTGACCCAGAAAGCTGTCCTGAGGCTGTATGGTGACCACGGCTACATTCACACGCTTGAGCTTTTTTTTTTTTTTCTAAATTGAAGTACAGGCAGTTTACAATGCTGTGTCAATTTCTCGTGTACAGCATAAAAGTTCAGTCATATATATGCATTTTTATATTCTTTTTCATTATAGGTTACTACAAGATATTGAATACAGTTCCCTGTGCTATACAGTATAAACTTGTTGTTTACCTATTTTAAATATAGTAGTTAGTATCTGCAAATATAGTAGTTACTAAATGCAAATAAATTGGGAGTTTGAACTTCATTCTGAACAACATGTGTTCCATTTGAGTAACAATTCTACTGCTTCTGGCCAGGCCAAGTTTAGCTAGACCCTTCCCTTCCTGAGCCAGCTGACACCATGCCTTTCCTGTCTCAGTCAATGCAATCTCTTCCACCTCCGAAGAGGGGGAGACGGTGAAGAGAATATGGTGCTGTGAATGGTGCTCACTTACCCACACAGCAGACAAAGCATGAGCCCTTGGGGTTTGGGGAGTCCAGCAGAGTAAGAATTTTATATTTCAAAGACTATATTGAAGAAAGCATTATAGGAAGAATAGAAATTTTGTGGTTTCCCTTTACATTTACTTTACAGTTTAATTTTTCTCTCTATTTTATTTCCTTCCTGATCTTTATTATTTCCTTCCTTCTGTTGACTTTAGGTTTTGTTTGCTCTTCTTTATCTAATTCTTTTAGGTGATAGGTTAGGTTGTTTACTTGAGATTGTTCTTTTTTGAGGAACGCCTTTATCATTATGAACTTCCCTCTTAGGACTGCTTTTGCTGCATCCCATAGATTTTGTGTGATTGTATTTTCATTGTCATTTGTCTCAAAGTATTTTTTAATTTCTTCTTTGATTTCATCGACTCACTGGTTTTTTTAGTAGCATCTTGTTTAATCTCCATGCTGTCATTTTTTTTCTCCTTTGTTTTCCTGTGGTTGATTTCTAGTTTCATGGCACTGTGGTCAGAAAAGATGCTTGAAATAATTTCTATCCACTTAAATTTGTTGAGGCTTCTTTTGTGCCCGAGTACATGATCTATCCTAGAGAATGTTCCATGTGCACTTGAAAAGAATGTATATTCCATTTTTGAGGGGATGTAATGTCCTAAAAATATCAACCAAGTCCAGCTGTTCTACTGTGTCATTTAGTATCTCCGTTGACTTATTGATTATAGTTTAATCTTTCACTTGTGTTTATATATAAGAGAAGGGACCTGATCAAATTTTCAGTGCTTAGGGACCGTAGAAACCATGATCTGACTCTGGTTGAAGATTCCTTTAGAACAAAATATTCATCTTCTTGATTTCTTTTAATCTAATCCTCTGGGATGGGAATCTCAAACACGGAAGACACAATAAATAACATAGGCATTAGACAGTTTTGGGAACTGTGCCCACACTCAGTATAAAAAGGACCACTGCTGAGTTCCCCCAGTTGTTGTCATGGAGGAAGGCAAGCCTGATGTTGCTAGATGTATTTTCAAGAGGAGATGGGACTCTAAATTTTTTTAAATGTGAAATTAGTTGATGCACAGCAATGTTTAGCTGGGGGAGCTAAGCAAAGCATGGTGTAGGGCTACCAGGACACCATCCCTGCTTCCAGGACTGGGCCATTTTAATTCCACAGAGCCTGCAGGACTTAGAGGTCTCAAAATATATAAACTTCAGATCATTATTGTTCTGAGAAGCTCAGATTACAGTTTTGGCTGGGTGAGGAAGACTCTCTTCAATTCCATTTGACATGCATTTATTGTGTCACAGACTCTATGCTAGGCTTGGAAGACACAAACACCATCAAAACATGGCCCTTGTTTTCAAGGTGCTCATAGATTGGTAAGGTTTTTTAAAGGTCATGTCAGTCAGTGCATTCTAGAACAAACAGGCTCATCTTTCTGGTGGAGACTTCTGAAGTTTGCAAGTTGGAGGCATCATGTTAGTATAAGTGCAATAGATTCTGGTGGATTTACTCATAAATCCTCCACAAAAGTCTCAGCAAGGAGTGCCCACTGTCCCACAAAATGCTATGAAGATCATCTTAAGTTGCTATTGTATTTTGGATACGATTTTGTTTTGTTTCCTTCATTCAGTATCTTTTAAGAATAAGGCTGTGCAATAAGACAGTTCTGGACTGTACCTGAGAATTTGTGCTAATAAGGAGACTTGTGGTGAGCACCTGATAGCTTATGCCACAGGGTGGAGCCGACCACACCTTTACAGATTCCTTTAATATGTCAGATTAACTTTTTTTCCCCTCCTGAAGATATCTGCCTGTCAGTGGTTCAGTTTTATTTTCTCGAATAATCGACCAACAAGAGAGATGATGATGATAAACATTTACTCAACCGCTAATATGATCCAGAGCTTTGTCTAGGTTACCTTCTTTAATTCTTAAAGCAACAGAGGACTTCTGTTACTCTCATCTTACAGAGGAAACTGAGCCTTAGAGCTTTAGTCCCTTGCAGAGCTAGGTTGGGGTACCAGTGCCTCAGCTGGTTTGGGGTGTCATTAATTCAAACCTTTTGTAAACTTGACTTCGTCACACTGGGTACCATTTAAGACACATCTTTTACAATGAGTGTTTTATGGCTGATATGTTAATACATGCTCATAAGTCTAACTTGCTGTGTTTTCTGCATATTCATAAATATATTAACATACAATAATTTACAAATATAATTTATATGTAATATATTTATACAAATATATACAATTTCTCCAGAGTCCTTTCCAAATTCTCAACATTGTGCCAACTGAAGCTGACTTCATGAACACCCACACTCTCACGGTAATCCCCTAATTCAAATCTGGCTGAGATTCTGCAGGACTATGTTTGATTTTACGTGTCTACCCCTATGAGTTCTCTCCCCTGCAGTTTTGACTGAAAACACAGACAATTTTGCTGTTCTGCATCATCTCCTCACATATATCTTCTGCCATACTGCACGTTTATCTATGAGCTCCTGCCCAGAGAACAGAGGTCCGATACGATTAAATAACTGAAATATTCAAGAGGAATCCAGTCCATTGTTAAAAAGAGTAATGCCCTTCTCTTAATGAACTATGCGTTGATTTATGATGATATATTGGCACAGAAGCACTGGCATGTTTTGAGGTAAAACAAACCTCAAAAATTTTTATGTTGAGTACTAAAAGATTTCCTTTTAGATACCATACTGAATGATATTTACACACACACACACACACACCATAACCCAAAGTGTGGAAATTAAGAAGAGTCAACTCACAGGCTGTCCAGGCTCATCTCCCCCAAGGATTCTGAAGCCGAATCCAGACTCCATCCTGCGAAGGTGAACATCCAGCTCCTTATAATCTGGACCTGGCATAAAGGAGATCCCATTGAGTAATGAATCCTGCCTTCTCCCCACCCCCTGAGGAACTGAACACACCAATGATAAATTAATTTTTTGGATGTGATTAATACGAGTGCTGTAAGAGTTGGTGAAGAGCATAGAGAATAAAAAAAATACATATGGTAACAAAAAAGTAGGCATTCCAAAGTTAGGTGGTCTCTGGATTAACAGTGACCAGCCAAGGGCATTACTAGGGTATGACCATAGGCAGAAGGAGCACATGAATTTTCTGAGTGGAAAAAAAAAATGATGCCTCTGTAATTCTTTATTTTCCTGAAAACACAGATTGCCCTCAAGAAGACTGGCTGTCACTTCGGGGATGTTACTGTGACTAGAACAATTGTTTTACACGTTTGAGAGAACAGATGGTAACACCCTGGAACTACCTGGTAAAGTACTACCTAATAACTTACTAATAGCTGTTTATGACACGACGTGTCCTGTTTAGTGTGTGTGTACGGTGAGTGGGGACAGATATACTTACACCTAATAGAAGTTGTCTCTTTTAAAATCTTGTGAAAATTAGAAAGGATAAAATTTAAACTTTGCTCTGTTGTGGTTTGAGTTAAGTTTTAATTTTCGACAAACTCCTTTAGGATTTTTGTAACTTAGGGGTAGAAATTTGCCTGGGTTTAAGTGAACTCTTATCCCCCAAAGCATTTTAAAATACAGAAGCCACTAGTAGGTTCACTACTGACTTCATGAGCATATTCAAAAAAAAACTAGAAAAGGGATACTTTTCTGCAGTTAGCTGGAGGAACAGAAATGTACTTTAAAAATAAGCCAGGAAACTCTTCTGAATGTAATTTTTTTTCAGCCCTAGAACAAAAATAAGAAACCTTTTGCCTTTTTAAGGATAATATGATTTAAATATGATTTAAGCTTACTCCCTGCCCCTGGCCCTTTGAACCTTCCTCAGGGGAAAACATCTCAACCACGTCTGGGTTGTGCATACTTTCACGGCCACTATTAGGATGTCAAGCAATGATCAGCAACTTGGGGGAATACTTATTAATGTCATCCTTTGCTTAAGAAGTACTTAGTGATCTCTGGGCCGTAACAGTTCAAAGGAAGTATTAGAACTGACAGAAGCAAGTATTAAGCTAAATTCTCCTTGCTTAAACAGAATGGTTTTGGAAACTGGGATGGGATTTCAGTGGAGAATCCTCATGGGACAGGAAGCTTATGTCTGAGCCATTTGGATATACAGTAATAGTCATAGTTGAGAGAAAGGCTCAGTAAGTGATGGCCAGGCAAATTTTTTCCAGGTTCTACAGTAAGTGGAGCTGCTGACGTGATACAGTAAACCAAGCACAGTGATGCTGGGCCCTCCAGCCTGGGCTGTGCATTCCCAGTGAAAAGTGGAAGGCAAGTCATTCACTTCTGAAATGTAGGCATAAAATGATTATGTGTCTAGTGCTTTCAAGGAAAAAAAGGTGAATCAGGCACTTAAGTACAAATGTATATTAGTATATATCATTCAAGACACTGAATTTCATGCCCTTTTGTGACCAGATGCACATATAACCAGAGTCTTTTCCACCCAAGAACAAACACAAAACTCAAAGAAGAATAACCAATTGGATCTCCACATCCATTAGTCATCCTTTACAAACTGTACAGGCATTAATATTTTAAAGAAGACAACTCAGAAGAATTCAGTTCCTATTAAACAGCTAATTAGAGTTGGGTGATAAAAGGAAAATGAAAACTTTGCCCTACACTCTACGAGTCTCAACTGACTTCTAATCTCAGCTATACTGAGGTCTACAATATCACATATAAAATCACATATTGGGGTGTGAGACATACTTTCGGAAATCTGGAGGCAGCTGGAGCAGCCCTACAAAATCATGGCAGGTACCCTCTCCCAAGGGAGGCAGAAAGGCGAGGGGAGATGGGAAGATGACAGATAATGCCTGCTCACTGTTCAAACCCCTAAAACTTGGTTATGATACGAATGCTCACAGCAATTTCTTCTCTAGATGACTTTAAACTTAGAGGACTCTTTCTATATGTAAAACTTACAAAGAGAGCATGATATATTTCTGATACTTAAAATTAATGATAGAGCTAGCATATGTTTAATCAGAACTTTCCATCGCTCAGAGATACTCTCATTTTTGCACGGCTGGTGAGTATGTTAAGAGTGAAATTGTTCCTCCAATGGCTTCTGCACCAATCCATATTGCATGAGGAGCTCTAAAAGGAGTTTACTGTGTGATCCATTTTATTTGCTGAGTAAAACTTTCCCCCAAGGAAATGCTGAAATTTTAACAATGCCAGTAATGGAATTTTGAGATGTGCCAAGGTAGAAGGGAGTTGTGTCAGAGAATACTGTGATTCCTGGGGGCAACTGGAAAGCTTTTCCTTAATGAATGACTCAGGACTCCTTTTTATTTAGGAAAAAAAATACAGATGTTTGCTAGTTAATTTTTTTAACTCTGGAGAAGTCTGAAGCTGTGAGCAGGACACAGATCCTCCTCCCCTCTTTCTGTGCATTTTGGGGACATTTCAATCTCCAGACTATTGCTCTGACCACTCTGATTTCAAATACAGGGTGATATATGCCAACCATGTCATCTTCACTCTCCATTCTTTCAGGCAGAGATGGCCAGCTTCACAGTACATGAGCAAGTAGAGAGAGGCAATGGGAGACCCACTAGAGAAGTGTGCCTGCAGATGTGATTTACTTTTTTTTTTAACATTTTTTATTGATTTATAATCATTTTACAATGTTGTGTCAAATTCCAGTGTTCAGCACAATTTTTCAGTCATTCATGGACATATACACACTCATTGTCACATTTTTTTCTCTGTGAGTTATCATAACATTTTGTGTGTATTTCCCTGTGCTATACAGTGTAATCTTGTTCATCTATTCTACAATTTTGAAATCCCAGTCTATCCCTTCCCACCCTCCACCCTCCTTGTAACCACAAGTCTATATTCTCTGTCTGTGAGTCTATTTCTGTCCTGTAGATGTGATTTACTTTTTATTTCTTTGTTAATTTTGAACACAAACTCACAGGCTGCAGGGCATGGAAACCAGAGAAATAGTCAATTAGAAAAAAAGTTTAAATGATAGATCGTGCCTTGAGGCAGAGGTTTTTTGTTTGTTTGTTTTTGGTTGCTGTTTAAGGAAAATAAGAGCTTTTAGAAAGATAATTTTTCTTTGGTTTCTTTCTTCCCCCACCCATTTGAGACTGGCTTTAAAAAATACCTAAAATTATATGCAAAAAGCTGGAAGCATGACTTTTTTTCCTTCCTGCTTTGTTAGCGTCTTGAAAGATGATGTTTCTGGTACTTTCCTTTAGCTGCTCTTCTGGCCTGATGACATGTTCAAAATGATGGCATCATGCTTTATCTCTTCCCCTGTTAAGTCAAGAACTTCAATCATGCCCCCACCAATATTTTTTTTTCTCTTCTTTCTTATTTTTTCTGTTTCTGTGCTCTTTTCCTATATTCTTTTCCCTCAGCACTTTTTGCAGAACTTTCAGGTGTACTCTAAGGCATTGCTTGGTGCAAATCAAGATGAGGCAGTGGTTGTGAAGTGGACTGAGAAGAGCCAGTAGACTCTTTGGACATTGGTGTTCAATGGCTACCCATGGCCAGTATTGCTTGTTCCTTAGAAGTTGGGTCCCATGATCCTCAGGCATTACGAAATAATGCATATTAAGATACTCGTCCCAGAAGGGACTTCACATGACCACTGTGGCAGACTATGGGAATGCAATTTACAAGTCTGGATTAATCCTGGGCTTCCATTAATATTGAAGAAGGTAATATATTTAAATATAGCAAATGGTGGCCACATCCAGGTAGCAGGGCAACCTCTCTCATAATAAAGAAAAGCAGTATTTCAAAAGCTGATTCTTTTTTTTTTTGCACTGACTCCTGGAGGCTTCATATGCTATATGTAACCTTGGTCTAGCTTTTGAAAGACATGGATTTGTGCACAGTTTCAGGCAAAAGGATGGGTGGCTGAACACAAATGATTAAATTTGGTGATTGGATCCAAGCTTCAAAAATGCAAAGAATGCCATTTTTATGGATTAATTTGGCGCACAGAATGCTGCTGTAAACATGTCAATTAAATTTTGGTACTTGAATCCCCTTTCATGTTTTAATTAAACATAAGCACCATGGGCTTATTATCATAGTTTGGCCCAGAGGATGAATTCATTCAATTCTTCCTGCTGGAAAAAGTATACATTTTTTGGCTTTTCCTTGTAAAGAGATCCAGGAAAGACAGCATGAGAAAGTACTCAAGAATCAACGGTGGTTATTAAATATGTCCCTGACATCTGGATTTTCTTACGCACTCCAGATACAGAATGAGTTAAACAAGAGTTAAGAGGTTTTTATTGCTTGAATCTAACATTACCAGATAAATAACTAATACATTTTTGCCTTAGAAGAATCCCTTCTCTCTCCTTTTTTTTCTTTATACCTTTGGTAATGTGAACATGGCCAGTCACATTTTAGACACAGTAGATGCTCTCTCTCACTCTCCGTTTGATTCTCTTCAAATAACTAAAGCCTTCAGATAAACTCAGATTTCCCCCATCCTTAATATCCACTTGCTCTCCCCAACCACTTCTTTCTTGGACGAGCGGTCTCTAGTGAAGTCTCTACTCTCTCATCATTAACTAACTCCTGCTAGTCTGGTTTCCGATCTCTTGGCATTACTGAACTGCTCTCTTTAAGGTCACTGATGACATCCTAATGGTCAAATCCAATGGCCATTTTTTTTCTTTGTTCATTTTGATTGATTTCTGTCTCATTTTTTGTTGACACAAACCCTGTCAGAACCCTGATTTCTTTTGTTTCTAAACAAGAAAAGGTATCTCTCCAGAAGTGATTTCTACTCTTGGTTTCTGTGATACTCCACACCCTGGTTCTCTTGCCTTTGCATGGAGCTGTCCATTCAAAGGGACTGACTATAAATTCACTGTTTCTTACTAACACACTCCTTTGGTGATGGCATAATTACCTCTGTCTACTGATAGTATTCCATTATGCACAGCTGTAGGAGTTGCTGAATGAATGTTTCTTGAATTTAATTGTTTTAAGATACTTGCTAATCTAGTGGACCTGACAAACCACAGCACTATTCTACTACTGAGTTATCACTTAGCTTCATAATTACATTATTTAGGACGTCCTACTAACAATTTTGCCTCTGTACCTGAGCATCCTGTGCAGCTAAGGCTAATAAAATACCTTATAATTATGACAAATACATTCAAGTCAAAAATGATGCCAAATAATTTGATAAAGAACATTTTAAAAATACAAGCAGTAGTATGGGAGATCTATCTATTTTGAATGCAGTCATAATTTTCCAGAATAGTTTCATAACTTGTATGGACATTTAACAAAATATTTGGATTGGTTCTTTTCCTGAAAATCTGGATTGCACAGAAGTAAAATATACTCAAACTATATTGTAACTTTTCTCTTTCAAGTAATACATATTTTTTGAAATGTAAAAAAGTATCATCTTGCACATATATCAAAGTAATTTAAGCTATTTAGATGGTCATTTTTCTCTTTTTTTGTTTTTAAATAAAGTACATTCAGAAGGTGAGATTTTAAAGAAATGTGCTTGCTGTGGACAGTAAACTGAGATTTAGAACCTCAAATCAAATCTGGCTTTCATTTTGCAACAATAATTACTAGGTCTCATTTTCCCTGTGGGTATAAGATATTCTTCAAAACAACAAAAGATTTTACAGTCAGTATATACAAATAATTATGCTTTAAAAAAATTTCAGACCAAGCTAAACAAATACTTTAGACATTATCTGAGAATAAAATGCTAAGCAACAGCTTCCATATTTTCTACATATCCAAAAAAATGACATGGAAACTTACAGAATGAAATGATCTCAAGCACATATATTCTCCAAGGGGTGTTAGAACATGCTGAGATGGATAATGAGCTGTCATCATGGAAACACTCTAGAGATGTGTGCTGTGAGCCCACAGACCTGAAATAGTACTATTATTATGAAACGTTCTTTTCTACAATTGTTTCAGTGTTCTGGCTTTCAATCCAGTGGTCTAATCAGCTGTTCAAAGCGCTTCCTAAGAGTAAGGAAACCTGAGTCTCCCTTTTCCTCATTCATTTCCATAATAACTAAATATTTCAGTCCAAATCCAACTAATAAGTATTTTCAGAATGGCTAGGTCAAAAAATTATTTTTCTTTTAAGTAAATTTATTGATTATTATTAAAAGCCCTTGTAAACATGAAACTATGATATTCTATCCTAACTTAAAATATTATTGAAATGTAGCATTTTATAATGGGTATGGTTTTAAAAAATTAAATTGTTGTAGGTGTTCAACTGACGTGAAAATAATTTCATTTCACATTAGCAAAATTTCCAGTAAGTTGTATGGAAATGTCTAAATTGCAAATCTCCTTAGACACTCTAGATTCCTATTTCTATTTATCTAGTCCAGTGCTGTCCATTATAAACAATATGTAAACTACATAGGTAATATAAAATTTTCTAGTAGCCACATTTTAAAAAACAAAAAAAATAGGTAAACTCAATTTTAATAATATATGCTTAACCTAACATACCTCAAATTTTATTCAAGCATGAATCAATACAAAAATAATTAATGAGGTACTACACGTTTCTTTTTTTCTACAGCACTCTTACAAACTCAGAATGGCTACATTTCAAGTGCCTCACAGCCACATGTGTCTAGAAGCTTTGGTATTGGACAGCATGGATCTAGTTAGGTGGCTTTCTTTGGCACCTGGTTTTTAATCTAGTCTTTTACTAAAGCATTTTATGAAGGAAATTAATGAATGTAACTATTTTCCTTTGTCTTTTGTTTGTTTCCTTGGCAGTCATTTAGGCCAAACTTGGTGAGACTTGCCTTCTAGCTTACATACATGCTTCTGTGGGTGAGTGAAATTAGCAGGTGACTATATACTAATAAACTGAGACTACTCAGAAGAATGATTTGTTACACAAAATGGAAGACATTTCATTCACAGGACTGTGAGTACTGAAGAATACTTGCCAGAGGAATCCATTCGAAAACTGGTCCTTGGTGGCACTTGTTCTGGATGGGAAAATCGGGAATTAATATTGAAATTCATTTATGGCATTTTAAAATTCATTTTTACTTTTTTTCTTTTTTAACAATTGTAACTCACCCCCAATCTTGTGCTCATGTTTAATGATAATTTTTTCTCTAAAATCCATGGGGCTTAGTGGACAGATTTACCCTGTTTTATGTATATGAATATGTCTGTAAATGTATTTCTTTCACATGCAGGTAAAAATCTGAATTCTTTTAGATCAGAATGGAAAAAAAGATCACCATTTCAAACATTAAGCTTTGATTCTAAGTATAAGAATGCTTATTTGAAAGTTAAGTCAATATAGAACCTGAAATAAATACAATAAAGATTTTTGAAATGATGTTATGATATTGTGTCACCAAACGTTGAAGTGAAAAGTGAAAAATTCAGTACTTCTGTTGATTTATGTACACCAGTCCAAATATTTTGATACTTGCAATTATTTGGATAGTTGAAGTTATGTATAAGTAGTTAAATAAAATTGGTTTTATTTTAGCAACAGAGATCCTTCATGAGAATTATGTCATCTATGCTACACAGAATATAAAAGTTCATGGATATGAGTGTAAAATACTATTACTATATACACTATAATATACACAAAGCCCTATGAAAAAATGTTTTTTTAATTATTAAACTTAAAAAATTAAATAAGACTAAATTCTGATTGCTTTCTTACTGAGCTCCATTTGTTTCAAATAAAGAGTTCTATGCTATTCAACAATGAAAATGAAACAGAAGGCTCTTGAGGGGATGACGAGGCTGTTCCCCACTGTACCCTGCACAGCTGGTCTCACTCACTGCGGGCAGAATGAGCCTCCCTGCCAGGCAATCTGTGTTTTCACAGTAAAGGCAAATCAGTTTTCTAGCAGAATTATTTTTTTAAAAAAACCTCCATGTGTAGTGTAACCGATTAGGATTACAAATTGAGAAATATCCTTTCATCATAAAGGTGGAGCTGTATCAGGGATGGAAGACCACTCCCTTCTAAACATTTCCATTAGTTGTGAAACTGACATTTTATATTACCATAATCTCACTAGGACCTACTTGCCATCCAGCAATTACACTCAGTTTGCTGCAGTCCTGATGGTCTCATTTTTATTCATCAAAGTACTTTGGGTTACACTGTCAACTTGCGCTGTCAACAAAATGCTTTGACATACTAAATAACTTTCAATCAAGGACTGATTTTAGAGTCTACTTCTCACATTTCCACCCCCTTTTACCCCATCTGATTTCAGGGACATTAAGTTTTAAACTACTGAAGGAAATAAATTTATAAGCTATCAGACTGAATCTATTTCTAAAATACAAGGGAAAAATGTGTCCCCAACCTAATTTTTATTTCACAACTTTTATTACTTAGCTATTTCTTTCTCTATTAAAAGAAACACGTTAGGAATATAAAAGTAGTACCATAGTTATTACAAAGCTACCTGAAAATACTAATTTTGAAATTATATTTCCAAATTAAAATTTACATGTGAAAAATGGCAAACATAACTGGATTTACTGATCTCCTTTATCAATATATTATAACTGCAAAGTGATGCATAAAGTGATATATCAGAAACTCCAGCTGAAAGGTAATTTTTTTCCCCACAGATCAGACCATAACATAAATTATAGTAAAGACAGCAAAAGATGATTTTCCCATGGGAACTAGGTATAGGAAATTAACCTCCAGGGTACAGCCAAGGACATTTTAAATGATAATGCTACTAAATTTCTTCCAGTCTTTTATGATTTTAATGCTAAAGACACTGATAAAAGGTCTTAACATTTACATATGATCTTATTAGTTTTTCACTAAAATAAGCTAGTGCTTCAGAGAACATCTGTGGGTGGTACTTTAAGGCCACTGGACACCAGCAATGACCAAGCAAATGAGGCCAGGGCCTGATCGAGCAAGTGTTCAGACGTGCAGATGTTCTCCTGGAAACCAAGGTAGCCTTTCATGATGGCAGCCATGAATTTATGAAAACCTTTCCTAAACCTATTGATGTTTCCAGCTTGACTGTATTGGGTATTTAATGACAAGGGCAAAAGAGACTGGAGGCAGGAAGGCTCAAGCAGAAGCCCTTTGCACAGGCTTCGGAGCTCTGGTTCTGAGCATGAAGCATCCTGTGCATCGACCTTGTGTGCTGATTCCCATCATCAGTTTCTGTTTAGTCTCAAGGTCTGTGCTGCCGTGGATATTTTTACATTACTCCATCTTTCCTAGTGGCTATGCCATTAGGATAGGAGACAGTGCAAACCACAGCCCTTGCTCACTAACAAGGAAAGAGCAGCAGAAAAACCAGTGGTTTAGAAATACAGCCACCCATCTGGGATAAGCCATGAATTACATGTGCATTACAATTCTGTACAATGAAAGAATTCCACATTGAACAATGAACAACAGAAGTGCAGGCTAAAAGGCCACAGATGTGAAAAGTACAATGTCCATTTTTGATTAGCTACGGACTATAATTTCATGTCAAATATAGTACTAAATACAGTTTTGCTCTTCCATTATGCTCTTTAACTGGCCTGTGGTTACCCCTGATTGTTACCTTTGGTGCAATACTCATTGCTTATTATGGGTTAATGTTTCTTAATTTCTCGAAAGAAAAATTGATCATGTGAGCTCATTTTGAACAAAGTCCAGAGGAATTTCTGTTCTAAAGAGGTTCTACCAGAAGGCACATTACACCATACGGATCCCTGACACTTTTATGATCCTACCTTTGAGTGATGTCTTACTGCAAAGGAGTATGGACATGCTGTACCTCATAAATTGCTTATTTATAATAACCAAGGTTCAATGAGAAGAGAAAAAAGTTTGGACAACTTCGGTCATAATTCAACTTGAGTTCACACCAAGGGACAGAATCATGAGGGAAGAATTTCAGAGAACAAGATTTTTCCTCTCTCTTTCTGTTTTCACTGGCTTGTCTGCTCCGGCTTCTGAGGCTGCATGGGGACTATGCCTCACGACCACCCAGAAATGGCCCCACGAACTGAGGGGGACAAGATAAACCTTTAGAGTAAGTCTGTCATCAAGAAAAGTGAAGCATCAGGACAAGGCCCTCATTCCTAAATCATCAAGTTCATCAGCATGATCAAAACTTTCTTTTGTCAGATTCCAAAGTGAGCCACACTCATTTCCTTTGGGAAGCACCTTGTATTGCCTTGCTTAGCATGAAAAGCAGGAGCCAGGGTAGCCATGTCTCTGCAGTTGTGTGAGTACAATCTTTCCTCAGAACAGGAAGACAGATAGGACAGACACAGTTAACTCCCTTTTGGCTTTGTGATCACTGCAATGTTGAATCTGATTTATTCTCTGTGATAAGAATGAGAACTTCTCTTCACTTAAATGAGTGAAGCTTCACTACCTACTCTTTCTACTCCATTTGCCATGCTCTAGATTTGCATATATGTACAGGTTTTGGGGCATGGGAGGAGTTCAGTGGGTGTCTGGCTACCAAGACAAGGAAGGCACCACGTACATCTTTACTGCAAACTAGGGATAAAACGTATGGACAAAGATTCAGTCAGCCAAATGAATTAGCTTGAAAGAAATAATTTATCTGAGTAGGTTTTAAAATTTTTATGTGTGGTCTGTACATTTTAGATATATGTATTTCTTGGACAGTAATGACATCTATCTCTTTAATGGACTATGTAGTAAAGAGAAATCATCTCATTTATCATTCAAATGAGGACAATCTGGAGCATGAAAGGGGAGCTATTAATTATGCCAGGACAAACCAGAACAGGACTGTCCCAGGCAGACTGGCATGAGTAGTCACCCTAGGTAGCCTAATGGGTAAGTAGGCCATTATAAAATACTTTTTATCATATCAGAATTATGTGACTGAAGCAATGGTGCAATCATATACAGAGAAGGAATGGCAGGAGGAGATGGGATGGAGAAAGCAGGGATTGCTTTTAGAAATCGCCCCCCCCCCAATGTTAGAAATGGTGAAAGGACCCCAACATTGAGAATGTTAGCATGCAAACTGAGACAATTCAAGCTCTCCCTCTTGTGAATGCAAAGAAAATTAAAGTCCTTCTTCCATGAGATTTATGGGAAAAGGACAGAGAAGGGAGAAGTAAAAAATAGCATGGCTTATCTCATTACACAAAGGTGGGTATTTTTCTTTGCTTTCAATTTTAAAAAAGTCAAGTAATGGAAACAGCAAGAAGTCAATTATCAACAGAGGCTATTACACAAAGAAAAGTGAGGTTTATCTAAAAGTCTTGGCTAGAGATGAAGGTGGGCTGATTTTTGCTATTTTCTGGAAATTGTTGGTAATGATATAGGGTCAATGCTTGAATAACTAACATGAAAATCCAGAAACCCCACTGGTCAAAATTTCTCTTGGGACTTTTTAGGCATGATTCTTCTATTATGTATATAAGCTTTAAGCTTAGGAGGAATGAAACTAGAAAAAATCTTCCTTTTACAAAGAGTTCTCCAATAAGAACTAATGAGTTTTTTTTTGGTAATTAAAAGATATTTAACACAAGACACTGTCCTGATTAAACATCATTTTGCACATAGAACAAGAAACTACGGGTCTGTCTAACTATAAACTATTGTCTATATTTACTGCACAATTTTGCATGTTACACACTGATATTACTTGCTCTGCTGTATAATGCAATCTGGTTCAGAAATTGTTTTCCTACGTCTTTGTTCCCAATTTCACTGTAAGCTTCCAGTGAACGCAGATTATTTCTTGTGATTTTTCTCTTGTGGAGACCCCAGCAGAGTTCTAGACACATACTGTGTTTCATATTCTTGATTGATGTGGAGCCTGGAGGTGCCACCTCTGGGTACCCTGCCTGATGCTCTGAAATCAGGCATCGCCTTGCCTGCTGGGTGGAAGAGTCCTCCTTCTCTCTTGAGTCCCACCTCACCATTAGAAGATCATATGAAGACAGGAGGTGTTTCTAGCTTTCCTCTCATAAGCATGTACCTGCCATGTTCTGTTTCATGTGACTTTGGTATCCTATGGTTGTCTGTTTAAAATCACAGCATCTTTTTTCAGGAGTACATCTTTATTAAGATGTCCTGTGCATGCACATTAAAATGTCAGCATAATCTAATTATGAGCCAAATGAGGCACAGCACCATTTACATCATTTGATAAATTTCCATCATTTGCAGGAGACTGGTGATTTGAATCCAAATACTTCTTGACAGCCTTGATATAACAAACATTCTGTAGCTCTGCAGAGCAGAAGCTTGTGGGTGGAGGTACATCCTTTTACTAGGTTACTGTAACCCAGTTTTGAACATGAATGCAAAAAATCTGCGTAGCATTGGATCTGGTTGTAAAGAATACCCTGAGATCATTATAGGTCAAGGAAAATGTTAAAGGACTTAGTTTAGACATCTTTGGTTAGGATTCCCTTCCATACTTTCCCTGGTCCCACTGATTTTTCTCTCAGAAAAAAGTTCAGGGAAACAATAAATAGAATCAAACCTAAATGTTTTGCATGTAAGTCAAAGGAATAAGAGAATAGGAGTGGCTCTCAGTCAAAATTTCAGATAGGGGTCTTTTGTTTGGATGCACACATGTCATAAGCATTAAAAAAATATTATTTGAAGATGATGAGAAATAGACTGAGACTTCCCCCAGTCATTAAAAAAATATTTTTGGTATTGTTCTGAAACTTTAAATGAGAGCTGAGACTTCTTCATACTTGTAAACAGAAAGTGTATAGAGGGCCAAGGTCTGTCCTGTTCTGTCAAGACCCCAGCACATGAACCTGGGAAAGCAGAGTGAGCCCATCATCTGTCCAGAGACTAAAGGAAGAGGTACCTGGCTTTTTTTGGTTTCCTTCATCTTCAGGGCGGGGCTTTCCTGACTCTGACACGATTTCTTTATTTCATTCACACTCCATTTAGTGTTATGAAATTACAGGATTGAAAGAGAAGGATGGGAGAGAAAATGAGCCTGCCCTCTTTTGGCTCTTAAGAGTTGTGACCCTGAAAGCACTGCTATGACCTTGGAGACATTAGAGAGAGCTAAGGAAACAAAAGGCAGCAGCAGTGGCCCTTGTGGGCTCTGATGCGGGCGCGGGGGGACAGGGCAGGGAGTCGGATGTTTGCTATGAGTGTGGCTGTGACTGTGGATGCGGAGCAGGTGCAGAGTCCAGAGAAGGACTGAAAAGAGAGTCATGGGAGGTTAAGGCGGATTGGTTTGCCCCGTTTGTTACAGGTGAGGAGCGGAAAGGCAATGAACAGAAACAGCACTGCCGGGGCCTGGATACAGAAATCAGAATGCCTTTAGGGTTGAAAACAAGGTCATGAACAATTGCTGCTCACAAACCGAGGGCACAACAGCATCAGATGCCGTACAGAGAAGACGGAACAAATACCAACACTGCCTTTGTCCTGAATAATAACGCTTTGCATTGGCCAGGAATCCGCCTTTGTCCTGAATAATAACGCTTTGCATTGGCCAGGAATCCGCAGAAGGATGGGAGCAAACGACTAATGAAGGTACAAAAACAAGGGGAAGCATCTCCTGACGCTCCTTCAACGTAACCACAAAATTTAACAAGCCAAGGACGTGAGGATGCAGTGTGTTTCCACCTTCTTTCTGAGTTAGGACTTTTCCTGTACCCTGATCTCTATTTGTTTACACTTATTCTTCTTCTTTCCCCAGTTAAATCTGTGTGAGCAGGACTTACTACTCCCCTTTTGTGTCTCCGCACAGTACTGAGAATCAAGTGGGTATTCAATAAATACTCAGTTATTGAAGCAGAAAAGGTACTAAGAACTGTGCTAAAACCTTTTCAGTTTTTTCAGTTTAATGAGCATTAATACCCTGAATTCATACCCTGTATCATACAGTGAAAAATGTCTACTTTGTTCTTACTCTGTCACAGTGCAGACGTTCTAACTGTACAGTCCTTTAAAGACATTTCAGTTGTTCAGCCAGAAGGGGAAGAATGAAACGCAGTAGTCCTGACATAGCCAATTATTTTTCAAAAAGGCAGTGGGGGTAGGGGGTAGAGGTTCATTTTGATGAAATGATTTCTCAATGGCCTGCTGTCCTAAGTAGTTTATCAACCAAAATTACTTTTACAGAGAGTTGCAGAGGATGGGGAAAAGGTATTATGTGTACTTTCCCCCTTACCAGCTGGGTGCATAATTCTCAACCCCCGAGCTCATCAAAGAGTAAGCAGATTTGAGATCCTCTGAGATCACACACAATTTAAAACTTGCTATTCATGCTTCAGATGATAAAGTTGGAAAGAAGACACTGGCAGGACACCGAAACAAAGGAAATCAGCAGACTGTAAGTGGGAGCGCCAGGGACCAGCCCCTTCTCACTTGGCTAGTTTTCTTGATGCATTACTCAGGTTCATATTATACTGTGTGTTTCCCTCACAGATTATACCTTCATACCACTCGGATTCCCGTCCTCTAACATTCAAAAGAGATGGCCTGTTAGATGGCGGATAGGGGCACCATGAATGTATATGCAATATTAAAAACCTCTGTTCTCTAATATTTATAAAGTGCAATGAAATAATTTTAGAAGTCCTTCAAATAGGACAAGAACAGACACGGCATTTCATTTTATGACTCAGGTTTCAAATGGGCCCCAGTGGATCAAATGAGAGGCAGAAGTTTCAGGTAGAAATGACTGGTACCTGCTCTGTGCTGGTTTCAGGACCGTTACTTTCATGATTAGGAGTTAGAAGGACCTGGCCAACATTTTACTCACATTTCTAAAATATTCAATGTCTACATTCATGGTGCTAAGAAAATCTAAGCTTCAGACTCAAAATCAGATAAAACAAAAAAAATTCCAACCATTTCTTCTTATTATTCAGTGACAATAAAATTAGTGACCTCTTCCTACACTCCCCACCCCCTCCCCACAAATATATTCCTGGTTTTCTTTAGGGACTTAGGGGGAAAAGCAGGAAATAAAATTTTAAGCCAAAAGATATTAAGCTTTTCTGTTGTAGAGTTCACAGGCCTTTTTTTTTTTTAAAGAAAAGTTTAGATCAGCTGGCTTTACTTTTGAGATACTTTTTGAGCCTCAGACAACAAAATCACACCAGACCATTTCAGCCTCAATGTAATGGCAGAGCTTCATCTATTACTAATGTACCCTTGTCTTATGTGGCTTTCACTTACGCCTACTTTCATAAATGGCTCTAGATTTCTCGTAGAGCTCATATGGGTCAGGCTTCCTTGGGTCAAAGGCCTCTGTTGAGTCCGGAAAGGAACTCCTGTGAAGGGCAGGTGGGAAGGGCAGGTTCTGCGGTATGGCCGGAGCAGATAAACTCGTCTGAGGACTGCCTTGATTCTCCCATCGATCCATTATCTGCAAAGGGAAACAAAACAGAGCTTGCTTCTTGCCTCTTCACAGACCACAGCCCTCACCTTTACCTTTGACTTTCTTGCCCTGCAGACTTTTCTTTCAGGAAACATTCAAAACTTTGGTATAAGTGTCTTGAGAGAAGATTCTATTTCTACATAATAAAGCACCGTGGATGGCTATAAATACAAGTGGTGTCTGACTTTCAAATGGAAACTTTTATAACCTTGTCATCTATTAGCTAGTAATTTTCAGCAAATCACTTAATCTCTCTGAGTCTGTTTTTTACCCCTGTAAAATAAAGATATGTATCTCAAGATAATTTATGTGTAAGTGCTTATATCTGTATGGTTTTATTCCTTTTCTAAGATGGCCCCAATTTATTACACCATTTTTACTAAAAAAGATAAAGTAGTCTGTACATATTCACTGGACACCTATGGATATCTGAACCACCTCCTATACTTGAACATTCAATCACTTTCCTCAGTTTATAAGTAATTACACAACCCTTTGGGATTTGTGAATTGTTCAAAGTCTTCTATGAAGCCTCATTTACTGCTGATCTGATGGTTTATTTCCCCAAATGCTGCTGCTACCATCATAATTTATTAACTATCAGTAGAACACCTCTCAGTTCACCATGCTCTTTCATGCGCATTCTCTTCTTTGATCCTCACTGTAGCCCCGTGAGGTAAAGCTGGGACTACCCTCCTTTTCTCAGGAAAGCCAGGTTCACTGAGAGCACCTGTGTGTACAGCCAACTTCAACAATCAGCTGATTCCTCATCCAAACTCAACTTCTGCTTTTCTGTTTTGAATAAACCTGTTATGTACAGAATGAGGTCAGGCTACACTCTGGTCTAAAATTTTGCATTGGGTGAGCATGGTCCTCAGGATAAAGGTCACGCTCTGGTGGGGCAAGATGGCTCCTCAGGGCCCAGGCTCTGCTCCTCTTTCTCATATCCACTCACGGTCTCTCTTCTCATCCCCTGGACCCATCAGGCTCTCTCCAACCTCTGCATTTCGCATATTTTCTTTATTTCTCTTTCTGCCGGCAAAGTTTATCCATTTTTCCACTCCTCCATCTCCTTTCCTCATTTTATCTGGTGACTAGATTCAGATGAGACATCTCCTCCAGAAGGCCTTCTGGATCCAGCTACTTGTCCCTTCTGGGTGCTCCTGCAGCATCCTCTCCCCACGCCTCACACCCCTCACCATGCCCACCTGTAACTGCAAGTCTACCTGTCTTCTCAGACAGATGATGTTGGGGATGGAGACTGCAGGGGACACAGTCTCTCTCGCTGTTGCAACCAAATGTAGTAAGTGTTCAGAAAATGTTAATTTAGTGAATGAATGAAATCATCAATAAAATATGGTCACTTGTTCTCTCCTTAAAACCTATTTTGATACACACTACTTTGAGCTTGGCAGGATGATAGTTTCTGGGCCCTACTACACTGCTTTTGTTTTCACGATGGCTGTATTTTGGTCAGGACTCCAATCCCAGCTCTCACCTAGCAACAAGGAATATTTTAAAACTGGAAGGGATGTGAGGTACTATGTACTGTGTCCTTGTGTAACAAGAAGGTCCCTGTGACCCATTTACCTAACTGGGACTGTGGCAGGGGCCAGGTAAGCCAGCAAATTGATAAAGAAATGGGTCATTGACCCTTTTCTCAAAAGACTGGTGCTACGGTCTGAATGTCTGAGTTCTTTCAAAATTCATATATTGACATGCTAACACCCAAGGTAATATTACTAGGAGATGGAGCTTTGGAGAGATAATTAGGTCAGGAGGCTGAAGCCCTACAAATGGGATTAGTGCCCTTAAAAAGGGGACCCCAGAGAGCTTCCTAGTCCCTTCTGTCAGGTGAGGTTACAGCAAAAAGGTGGCCATCTAGGAGGTGGCCTCTCACCAGACACTAAATCTTCCTGTGCCTTGATCTTGGACTTCCAGCCTCCAGAACTATGAGAAATAAATTTCTGTTGTTTATAAGCCACCAGTCTTTGGTATTTCATTACAGCTGCCCAAAGAAACTAAGACAACTGGCTTCATTTTAATTTGTTTTCCATATGGGCTACTGACCAAGATTTCATTTGAACCAAGGTTCTACAGCTAACAAAGATGGAAAACCCCTAGTTGAGTTCAGATTCCCTAATAGGAAACACAATCTCTAGGAGCACAAAGAGGTCTAGCAGCTGTCAGCAGCAGATCCTGGGTCAGAGCCAATCTGTAACTATAATGGGAGTGCTTTTTCACATAATACATTGAGGGAAATAACTGATAAATTTGCTTGGAGTTCTGGCTAATTTTCTGCTCAGTAGCCCTTTTGCCCCCATTTAGTAAAAATCTTTAAATATACACCTCATAATTCATTTGATAGCAAAATTCCTCTAGGAAGCAACTGTGGGTTCCTTTGGTCATCCGAATTCTCTGCACCTTTGCTATGACTGAAAGACCCACATTTGTGGCTAAAGGCATATTCTTTTTTATTTTTCACTTTAACTGACTTTAGGCACCATGTGGATGCATTCTGGCTGTGACTTTCTCCCTTCTGTTTCCAAACTTAAGATACTAAATTCTAAAAAGTAAATAAATTAGAAATATGATATGAGGTGCTGTCATCTCTCACTTGTCATCAGAGGACTTCAGCAAACAACTGTTTCTCCCTCCCACCTTCCTTGGAGGGTCATCTGACTCCCACACAGATCTCGCTGGTACATGTGCTGTGCACGTACAGTCATTGGAGAAGACACACTTCAGGTCAAACAGTAGTATTCTAAAAAACACTCTTAAAACTACAGAATAGATGATGCTCTGGGTACTGTTTGGGAAAAGTTTCTGTGGCATACTGACAAATTCCACAATTTTTATATAGCAGAGATGGAGGAATTTGTCAAGAGTCTAGTTCACGCTTAGTAAAGCATTCACAACATCTAGCTGTGACATTCATCAACCCTTGAGTCACTCTGTCAGGGTTCTGTAAGACCCTAGAGTCCATGAAGTTACTGAAAAAGTAGACTCACTGCCCTATACTCCTCCATCCCCAAATTGAGTTTTTCATTCCAACCCAGAAGACCATGGGGCAACCCCTTGCCCTGGGGTCAGAGGTCACCCCCAGCTCAGTGGGGCTGTTGTGCTGATTTGACAGCACCTTCTGAAGGGTGCCCTCTGTTGACTTCTTCCTATTTTCTTAGATAACTTGGTCTCTGCACTTTCACTTTCCAGCTGGGACACCTTGTGCTCATACTTGTTCCTCTCAATCTTCAAGAACCACCTAGATTCTGATCCCACCCCCTCAGCCACTTGCTCCACTTAGTGTCTTCCTGCCCTTGATCTATCATGAGCTGTGTTACCTGCCAGGCGTTTACCTCTCAATGAGGCTTCTGACTGAGTCTTGTCCAGCCTCAGTGGTGTCCTTACCTCAGCCAATATCTATAAACACCTCACTAGAGTAATGAAAAATGATCAGTGTGGACTCAAGGTCCACAATGGGGTATCAAACTGTAAAGCAGAAAAATCTGATCATGGTGAGATTAATTTTTTTAACCCCACCTTCTGATTCTAGGCTGCAGACTGGAAACAGAGGGGTTGTGAACAAACCAAGTCTCCCTCCCCATGAAAACTCCTTCCTGTAGAAGCTGGGGTAGTCAAAATATGCCCCCTCACTATTTTAGGGCAAGGCTGGGCGATAAAGGCATTTAGTTTGATACAATATTTCAAGAATCAACTTGGATTCTTTCCAGATGGAGAGGATGAGAACTCACTACAATTAGTGTATTGTTTGTTAAACAGAAGTGACTCTCTTGATGTGACTCAGTTTAAAATGTGGATCAGTAGGACAAAAAAGAGGATGAGGAAGTGGCACATAACCAGGAGGAGAAGAGATCTCACTCAGGATACCATCTCCTTATCCTAACTAAGGATGTTATTAATCATCTTCAGAGGAGAGCTGTGTATAAATCCAAAACTTGTGGGTATATATTTATATATTTGTTTAAGTGAATAGTTTTGCAAACTATGTTCATTTTGTAGAGTGATTAATTTATTAAGGGCTTCTGCATGGAAGGTCTGCTTTCTAGGATGAGAGTAATTTATACTTTTGAGCTTAACATGTAGAGACTCTGTTTTAAGTGCCTAACGTGGATTAACTCAGACTCTTTACAGTAATCATGTGGGAGAAGTATTACTACTGTCCCCATTTTATAGATGAGCTTGAGATGCTGAAAGCTTAAGCAGCTAGTTAAGGTAACACAGCTAGTAAGGAAAACAAGCCCAATTTGAACATAGGCAGTATGCTTTCCAAGACTTCATCTTAAGGCCTGTCATTTTAGTCCCTAGTCTGAGGAGTTTCTGACAGACACATGGAGGACATTATATCATTGTCCTCTCTTTTCACTTAGCCTAGGAGATGGAAGTCCAAGCCTTAGCTTTTGTAGGGAGGTATGGGTTTTGGATTAATTGAAAACTGAGTTCTATAAAACCTTTTTTGGAATTATTGAGTACAGATGTAATTACTGTAATGACAGCAAATGCTGTAGTTATGCCAAATGGCATAATTTGTGTAAATGTGGTACATATAAGGAAACCACTAGATTGCATAATTGTAGCACCATGATGAGGTTGCAAGATTCCTTGTTAAATCAGATAAAGATATGTATAACTACAGAGCACAGATGTAACTTTGGTGGTAATAGGAAGGAATGATTTTGACTTTGGTCAAGATAAAACAAATTTCATTTTAAACATTTTTAAATACCTATTTTCAAAGTCACATGCATCACTAAGTGGTTTAACTCAGCCCAAGAAGGATTAGGTCTTCCATCTGGTCCATCTCTGTGGACCAGATGAGCTAAATCCTGAATAAGGACATGCTTGGTGAGAATGTTCTGACAGCATCGGCCCCTCATCCAGCTCCCCATCTCGTCTCTCTTTGAGAGAACCCTGGAGCTCAGGCATATTCTGGGGCTCAATAATATTTCATTTTTACATGTCTTCAAACCATTTTCAAGCCATGTTATTTAATTGAGCCAGTTATTGCACTTGAAAAGTATGCAAAATTATATTACCTCCATTTCTAAAATGAGACAATCAAGCAGTTAAATATTCCCTTCAGTAAAGGAAATAAGAGGAGGATAAAATTAACCCGTGAATTCCCTACTCATTGGCTAGACTAGAGGCCACTTTTACCTGACCTGCTTACTGTGAGAGGAAAGAAAAGAAGTAAATGAAAGATGTGATTCCCTGAGTTTTTGTTTTTATTTTTGTTTTTAACTTGAATCACTTGGATACAGTTCTCTTCCAGTCATGGGTTTTAGCCAGGCCAGTCAGGACTGACTATTCTAATACAGCAGAAAATGGGATCCCAGAAAACTAGTCCCAGTTTTTGGGACTTGAGCAATTATTAGTTTCAATCTAATGCCAGGTAAACATCATCTTTAGCTGCAAAGGCAACTTGGCTAACCTTGCCTCACAAGAAGATTATTAAAATCCATCAGTCTTTCCATTGTTATCAAAATTTCAACATGATTCATAAAGAAACTAGGCCAAGAGAGGTTAGATGATGGCAGAGATCACTAGTTTTCTAAAGATTCATAAGCACTTTGAGTGACTGTAAGGTTTGTATATATATTTTTTTCCACACACAGACACATACACATTTAGCTCTGTGTACATTACAATGTAAATATGCACATACAAATATATATACAGATAAATTTCTTGTGGACTAGATTTAATTTGCAGGTCAAGACCTCTGGGCCTACTATTTGCACTGTTTTTAAAAATTCATTGTTATAAAAACTATACTATTTCTGACAGCGAAAAACAAAGGTTTCTATTTTCAATACTCCACACCGTATAGCATTAATGCTCATTGTGTAAGAATACTGAAAAACAGACAGAAGAGTCTTCATAGGAAAACAAGACAAGTTATTCCTACACAGAGGATTTGTTCTTCTGGTATCACAGAATCTCAGAGGGGGAAGAGATTTTCAGGTTACCCAATTCAACTCTTATTTAGCGAAATTGTAATAGTAACTAGCAATAAAGAAAGAAGCAGAATAATTGCAACTTACAGGCTTTGGAGTTTTCCATGGAGAAAAGAAACCTGTAATAAAGAAAACAATATTTAAACTTTGAAAATATACCCCACTACCACTTACGAGTGGCATGATATTAAGATAATTGCAAGTTACTTTAAATCAACAATGAAAACAACAAATTCTGCCTGGCTGTACAGTTTTCTTCAAGGTGTCCAAATAATTTTATTGGAATTATATAGATAATTCTGGGAATACTGCCTTCTTTGGCAGCTGAGGATTCTGAAGCCCAGAGAAGGTAAGTAACTATATAGTGAAAGATCAGCCGCTTTACAAGATCTAAGATTGAGTCATCCTTAGGGATTTCTGCACTAGAAAGAGAGAGAGAGAGAGAGAGAGAGAGAGAGAGAGAGAGAGATGGAGGAAGAGACTAGATAGAAATTAAGATTTTTAAAGGTTAATATCTTTGCTTAGTATAATAAATAATTCTACTTTATATATTTGCTTTATGTGGTTAAAATCTATCAACCTTCATTAATTCTCAATTTAAAAATACTATATATACATATATTACAAATCTGATTCTATTATAATTGTTTATGGGTCTGTTCTCCCACTGAGATCCTCTCTAGAGTAGATATCTATTTTATTATCCCTCTACCCTTGTGTTAGTACAAAGATTTTCATGAAGAAGCCGCTCAAAATGTTTGTTAATTGAGTGAATCATATCAGAGCCGTGCTTTTTTCAACGTATTGAGTTCTTTCAGTCATCACAAACGGTGTGACAACTGGACTGATTCTGTTGTGATCCAAATGATCTTTAAGACAATTAAAAGTAATGGACAGATTCATTCTCTTTTCTTTTTTTCCCCTTTATTATTTTATCACATATTGATCTTAGCAAGCCAAAGCACAATCTTACACACAAAACAAAATTACTATCTTTTCATATAATATCTTCCATCTTTCAATGATTTTACTCATGTTAATGTTAGGTGGTGTCTGACAAAATGCTCAATAAAATGGAATATTGCAAACATGCCACATAATGTTCATAACCTTTAAAACTGGGACTGGTACAAAATGGGAATAGTTGAAAACCATAACCCATTTATAGGAAATATCTACAGAAATTTGGACACACAATTAATTATCTAGATGCTGAAGAAATCCAACTCACATATGGGGTAAATACTAATTGCACCCTGACGCACCGTTGTAAAGAAATGATGCTGCATTTTATGGAAAGAGTGAAGTTATATAAAACATCATGCTTCTTAGCTTTCCTTGGAACACAGAGTTAAACTTAATGCTTAAGTATAACAACTATTTTACCTAAGGAGACTGGTTGCTAGAATTCACTCATTTTCTTGTACCCTCTCTATGTATGTTCTATCTCTTTCCAACTAATGAAAACAATTCTTTTCAATGTGTGGTTTGGTTATAATTTAATTCCAAGGATTTCATCACATTTTTTTGTTAATAGCTGAGAGTAAAATTACAGATAAATACATACATTTATCTCCTTGACTCATTCTGTAATGTGAAAATGAAAACAAACTGACCACCAATTATAAAGTGAAAAGCAATGTAACCTAGTGGCCAATTAACTGTTATATTCAAGAAAGAGTAAGATCTATTTGCTGCTTTACAGAATTGCTGGCAACAGTTCTTTTGAGAAAAGATGTCATTTACACATTCTCACAATATCAAAACATTCAATTATTTCTTCTACTTTCTCTGTGTCATCGTCACTTTCTTCCTTCAGTGCCCAAATGGATTTCAAATATTTGCTACTTTACTTTTGTTAGGTGCTCGGAGTTTCTTAGACTTTGATTCAGATGTATTGAAAATGGTTCTTTTATTACAAAGCTCTCATCTCCACATGAGGTATTATCTTAAAAAATGATTATTCCTACCATGGAAAATGTGTAATCATTGGACCTCTCAGCAGTTATGGTACCAGAACTAAAATGGCATAAAAGGGACATTGGTCAAGATCAGACAAGAATAGAGAGCTGTTTAAATCGACCTCCTTTCATCACAGGCACTTTGGCTTCCCCTCCTTTTAAGGTTGCTTCATTCAGTCTGACCTCAAACCATTGGCAAGACCCAGGACTTCTCTACTGCTCCCATTATGGTAGTTTCTGAAATATGTCTGATGCTGACTTGTGCTAAGGGGGCTTCAGTCATGAAGCAATAGTTGTCCTTTCTGAGTCACTGTCACAAAGAAGCTACTTCCTTCAGAGTAAGTAATTTTCAGTGGCAAGAAATAGTATCAGAATAGATTTCCTTAAAAATAAATAACTTAATGTGGCTCTTCATGTTTCCTTGACAAATTATTAATTATGTTATAAACTTTTAAATCAAGATGAACAGAAAACATCTATTTCGGATATACTCAGTTTGGCCCGATTAACCGATAAGGTCAGGTGTTCTACGTGATTAATCTTCAGTTTTCTGTTCAACTTCATTGGAAGAGCCACATGAATACCATAATAGTGTGAGTTAAATTACTATATATTATACACATATGACCATTTTTGTAGGGATGACTCCCTCTAGGAAATCTAGCCTATTCCAGTCAACATTGAAAGAAAAAAACACCCAAAACAAAATAAAAACTTTAAAATCTTCATTTCTGCAATTTTTCTTTTTCTGAAATCATTCTGGTCTGGCATAGATCACAGAAGCCAAGACAGGCTTGGTTTGTTAAGACTGTTACTTCTGGGTGTCTCACCACCTATCTTCAGAGAAGAACAGGAACAAGGACAGAGCTAACTACTCTTAAGCCTTTCAGAGCTGACAGTCCTTTTCAAAAAACCAAGTTCACAGAAAAAGAGCTTTTTCTTTAAGATAACAGTGAAGGTTCCTTTATATTTCAGGGTTTTTTCCTGGCCTTTATTTCCCCTACTTCTATAGAAAGTGGAATACGATAAATTCCTTTGTGGAATTAAAATTTCTTTATAATGACTTGACCCCTGCTTTCCATACTGATGATTTGTTGATGGGTGTTTGTGTATGTGTGTACAAATGCAAACATTTATTTAATCCTGACTCTTAAGATGACAGAAGTGAAAGACCTTAAGGTACAGTTAAGAGCGAACTGAAACATGAGCAGGGGCATTTTTAAAAGGAAAAAATAAGAGAATAATTGGGAAAATTTAGATGCAACCAATAAGAAAATTTTGATGCATTTACTATAAAGCACAAAACTGAATCAGATCTTGTCTATTGTATATAGTGCTGCTATGAACATTGGGGTGCATGTATCTTTTCACATGAGACCTCTAAAATCTATTTTCTTTAGAACAAGAAATAAAACTAAAATATATTTTTAATTCTGCATGTAAAAGTACAATGGGCAGGGAAATAGAAGCACAGTGCAAATAGCTCAGACAAGAAATTCCGGTTCTTCAAAATGGAAGAGGAGGAAAGACAACACAGACTTCATATTGAAATTTAAATTAAATTCTCCATGTCAACTAAATATAATTTTTAATAAATCACATGGTTGCCAGATAAAATACAATATTCCCAGTTCAATTTGAATTTCAGATAAGCTATGAATAATTTTTTAGCATATCCTGTATACTGATTGCATGAGATGTATATAATGCATAGGACATACTTACACTACTTTTATCTGAAATTCAGTTTATCTGAAATTCAATTTAACTGGGAAGTCTGTATTTTCATTTGCTAAATCTGAATACCCTATATGGGGAACATTTTATATATGACCTGGCTAACCATTTAAGAATAAAAACATAATAGTAATCCTTTCTGTGAGTAATATCCATTCAATTAAGTAAAAATCCAGAAAATATTTAATATCTCCTTTTCTTGCACCCCCTCCAATGTTTTATTGTTAGGAATCTTGCTTTGGGAGAAACATGAAAACATTCCATTTGCTATGCAAATCATTGCATTGTGTTGGTTGCCTGTTCATCAGTAACCCTGACTGATGTCTTGTATCCTGTGATGTAGAATTCTGTATGACCAACGTCAGTGTCACAAGGGACCATTTTCAAATTGTTTGATGACTGCTTAGCAACTCTGCCTTTCCCCAAGAGGAAAGTTCCAAAAAGTGGCTTTTTTCAGAAACTACTTCTGACACCGTATCTAAAATGAAAGAATATCAATATATTTATCACAGCTCTGAAGGGACAGTCCCTTTCTGGTGTGCATTTGTGAGTTGTCTGTGAAGCGTTTTTATTATTATTATTATTTTCACAGGGCACATCACAAGATAACGTATTTTCTTAAAACCACTCTCATTCAAATGAGGGATCAAAATACAATGAAGAGCAACTGAGTTTATCAGAAGACAACATGTGCAGGCTTATCCTTTCTAGATACTCATTGGGATTACTTGAAATTGTCAGATGGCTCTCTCCATAAAGAACAAAGCCCAGGAGAGTCCCACTGCAGTATCTTTAATTTGGAGTAACACTAAGGCAACTTTTAGGGATTTCTAGAAACTTACCCCAAACAGGACTAAATCTTTCTGTGTGCCTCTATACTCGATTTGATATACTGAACTCCCATTTGCAGAACTGTGAAATGGTTTCTTCTTCTACTCAAGTACTTGCTACAACATATGACTCTGGCTTTGAAGACTATCATTAGTTTCACGTATTCCATAGAAAATTCTACAGTTGCTAAAAATGACAGAGATGTAGGGGAAACACTTTCTTTTTAAGCAATGGAAAAGGTATAGCAAACACTCTGAACTAAAGACCTGATTCACTGAAGATGTCCATGCTCTGGGTTATTAAAAGCTGTGTGTTCTCTTTTGCTTGAAAAAACAAGGAAGACACAACAATGTGAATCTACCTAACATTCCTGAACTGTACACTTAAATGTGGTTAATATTGCAGATTTTATGTATATTTTATATTTTAAAAAATTTTAAAGCAATAAAAAAGAGGAGAAAAAAGAAAGGGAGAACAAAAGTATGTGCCTATCACATGAATGTGAGGGAGGAAAAAGGAAAGCTAATTTTTTTCACTGTCCCTGTGACATCCTGCGGGAGCACAGGAAACTCACTTAGACACCGGGCACA